GACATATCTTTCTTGATCCGAAGACTTTGCAACCCTGGATATAATTGAGATAGCCTTAACATGGAGGCATGTCAGGTGGTGGTGGTAACATTTTGGCCTCTGGAGATTCACCATCTTTAACTATGAACGCCGTACCCATGCCCCATACCATGTGTCGATCAATATGGCAATGCAAGTGCCATACTCCTATTCAAGAAGAAAAAAGAAGTCAATGATAATAACAACCATAACAATTTTGAAATGTCGGTCCAAAATGCTTTAATTCTTGGTTTTAGAGGGTGACACAAACAATTAAAGTTCGAACATTTGCACTAATTGAAAGTGCATAATGAGTTGGAGAACCCTTGAACAAGCAATAAAACCAATTTTCTGTTTTGCTTTTTTTTTTTTTTCTTCCTCGCTCGAAACAAATGGAAGAAAGTAAACAATCATAAAATGCAGGAACCACATATCCAAAGAAATCTATGAATTAACAGTTTGTATTACATGTTTCAATAAACTTTATTTTGAAGATAAAACTTATACGTACCAGGATTGTTAGCCTTGAATCTTATTGCCATCCATCCATTTCTTGGAACATGAATGGTGTTTTGAAGAGGAGGGTCCACCAGATTGTACGTTAAGGGATCCTTGTCCTTATCGAAATTCCGTAAACCCAATCCCACAACATAAAAACTATGTCCATGAAGATGAATCCCATGGTCAGTACCTTTTATAAAGTTTGTCCCCTGGAAAACAAGCTCCACGGTGGAATTGTAATCTAGTACTCTCACTTCTGTCCCTAGTTGTGGAATCTCCCACTCCGTCGGTAAATAATCGGCAGTGAAGTCAAAAAAAAATTGAGGAAAATCAGGAAGATTGGTCCCATACACCCCTTGAATGCAACAATAGTAAGCTTGTAATATATCAATGCTGGGATTGAGGAAGCTTACGTTGTTCACACTGGCTATGAATCTCAGCTGCTCACCAACTACACATAAAATTTTTTTATATAAGCTAAACAAAATAATTTTTTTTGTTTGATTTTGAATTATTTAATAAGAGATAATCCCCTTTCATTCTTTAATTTACCGCACCCATATATTATATGACTTAAATTCAAAATTTCTAGCTCTACTTGGAGAAGAAATTACCACTAAGCAACTAAATAATTCTTAGTATAACTAAATATATTCTTTTAGGACTAAATTTTGAGGGCTCACACTTTCATCCTTAATCTTTAAAATTAAGTAATTGGCTCCTTAACCTTTTAATAGTTTTTAACCTTTTAATAGTTACTCCGTATTTGGTTTGACAAAAATTGGGGGAGGGGAGAGAAGAGAAATGGAAGGGTATCATTTTCCTTCCATTTTCCTCCCCTCTCTTCTCTTTCTCTTGCTTGGTTAGACTAAATTACAAAAAGAATTAAAGCAAAATACAGGAAAACTGCTCTCTTGCCCTCCAATTTTTTGTGAATCAATTAATAGAGAAATTTCTTTCCCTCCCCTTCTCTTCTTTCCTCTCAAACCAAATAAGTATGCACTTGTATATGTGGGTGTGTGTATATATATATAGAGAGAGAGAGTATTAATGGTATTTATGGTATTAATTTAACCTAGCTAATATTGATATTGGACAAATTTTCACCAATAATATATTCTGCTAATTCAAATGGAAAGTTATATATGAAAAATTCAAAATTATATGCTGAGTAAGAATAGATTTAAAAGAATATTTATCATGTAATAAGTTTGGTTGACAAAGAAAAATTTTATTAATAAAGTACGAAAGGTACTCTAATAATATTTGTCTTGTAATTAATTTTTTTGTATTTAATTAATGAAAAATAAGTACACTTCAAAAAGAATACCTGGGCAAGAGTTGTTATTGCATACACTGTTGACTGAAAGAGTATAGAACAAATGTGTGGTTATTTCCATTGGCACATCAATTGGATGCTCCTTATCGGCTAAGCTCCGAAAACCAGCCGTAAAATTAACAGATGCTTCTGCGTCATCATATTCAGGAAGATAGGGGAACACCGGCGGCGAGGATGGAGTGTAATTTCCATTATATTCTATAATAGCTGTGGGGGTGGAGTTGTCGTAAAAACCTGGGCGAACAGTGGTGTACGCGCTGGCGGCCATGTAATAGTGATTGGGACTTTGGTTGGCTTCTAGAAGGACATCAACGGTCTGGCCTGGGGTTACGCAGATGAAGGTTGTATTGAATGGTTTTAGATAACTAGCGTCAGATCCAACCACCGTGACAGTATGGTTGGCAATGGCAAAGAAGAGGCCATCTATCAAGATGGCGTTGACTATTCGAAAGAGATAAGTCAAACCTCTTTTCACCTTGAACTTTAAAGTTTCTGTACATATATTGAAAAAAAGAAGGATTAGGTAATAATTAACATTGACCATTAAACATGGAGATACATTTTGAGTGTGAGATACTCTATGTTTAAGGATTTATTTTTACAATTAAATTGTAAAAAAGAGAACTCAATAAAAATTGATCAAAAGATAATGATTAATATGCTTTCTAATTCAACATATTATACAATATATTTATTAAAAAATTATTATTTTTAAATTTGAATTAAAAATTAGAAAACTAAAAGTAATATATTTTAATTGCTAAACTGATAAATGTTATGGGGTATGTTAAATCGAAGGTTGTATTAATCATTGGGAGATGTTTGATATACCCTTCGGTTCAACACTCAGTTCAATACTCTCCGGTTTAGTCATTAAAAATATAATATAAATACAGTCAGTTTAATCGGTTTCTATATCTTGTGTGCATGATTGTATTATTATACTTGTCTGTTTTTAATTTCAAACTAAAAAATAATGATTTTTTAATGACTAAATCGGAAGGTGTTGAACCGGGTGTTGGAATATATAGTGTATCAATCACTGTCCTTAATCATTTTAGTGAGAATTTTCTCACATCTTGTTTTTTTTTTTTTTGGTATTATATTATATGCATTTGTTAATATGTTAGTATCATTATTTTATTTTGAAGACATTGATGTCTAATTAAAAAGTAAAGAGTTTCACCTGATTTAGAGCAGGGATAAAGATCTCCAGGCTGGCCGTTGATGAGGTAGGTGTCCGAAGTGTCTCCTGCGCTGCCGTAGCGTTCAAGATCTAGGTATACCTGCATTATATCTTCTTTCCACCACTCTCCTACATTTTCAGCAATCCCAAACATTCCAAATTTTTATTTAATCATTGAAATTATTTTAAATTTATAATTATTTTTTTAATTACCTAATATGATGGGAATTTCTACATCAGGTTTCGGAAAAGGATAGCTTGTTCCTATCTTGGGATAAATAATCAGAGCGCCATGGACAGTTGCTCGCAACCATGTGCTAT